TTCGTTCGAGCTCCCTCTATGTTTGTAACAAGTGATAATTGTAGAACTAGGTGTTTTTAATAGTCTTTTTCGTAGTTAAAAAGAAATTATAAATTTAAACCTAAGGGAAAAATTAAAAAGAAACGCAAAGAAACTTATTTACATTTACTTAAACCTAAAAAAACAGAAAACTCAAATCAAACAAACAAACCTTAAACCACAAAAATGACACTGAAAAACATGCAATAAAACCTGAAACTATGAAAAAGACTATTAAAAAGACCTAGTTCTACAATTATGACTTGCTACAAACATCGAAAGTGCTCGAACGAATGTCGATTAAGAAATGAGACTCTTAGAACCCCCTCTTTGACAAATCCACTCTTCCAGACGCGCAGTCGCGTTACGAGACTGAACGAAGTTATCCGAGTCGAGTCTACGCATGCGCGCTCTTCATATAAAGAATTACTCGATTCGCGAACTAGGTCTTCGCTTTATGTAAACGAATAAAATGTTACTTTTTCATTATATATTACTTTTTTATTTATCTGATTTAATTAAATTCTTTTTGATAATTAAAACCGGTTTTTTAATTTAATGTAGGACTTGTTGAACAAATCAGAGTAGTTAAAAAGTAGTCAAATAATCTACTAGGAACTGTATTTAATTTACATTAATTTGTTTATTTTATTTTACGCAGACAAATTATTTGTTTATTTATTAATAACTTATTATTTATTTATTCATAAAATATTACTAATTGATTTAAAAAAGATAGAATTCAATTCGATTGAAATTTACGAGTTTTATTTTTTATTTAATTATTAATTTTTTAAATATTATTCATTTATTATTTATTTATTAATAAAATGTTACTAATTGATTTAAAAAAGAAAGAATTCAATTCGTTTGAAATTTACGCGAGTATTAGGTAATTTTGACCATTACCTTGTACACAGAGCCTTTGCTTCAGTGCGCTTTTTGGCCCTGCGCGCAAAGACAAAAAATACAATATCTCTGAAAGTTTAATAGTCTCCATCGATTTCTTTATGTCAAAATACTCGTGAAATCCTAAGGAATCAAAATATCGCTATTAGAAAAAAATTAAAGATACGCTTATAAACAAAAAATTTGTTTAAACAATATTTTTTAAATTTTTTATTTAAAACAAAAAAAATTTTTTTGTAATTTTTTTCATTTTAATTGTTTGTAAATAATAAGTTATCCCTGAAAAAATCATTAAAATCCATCTATATGTCTCTGAGATATTGCGTTTTCAAAATTTCAAAAAAAAAATTTGAAAACCCTGAACAACCACAAATTTTCAAAATTTTCGAAAATCTTTTTTGGAATTTTTATTTGCATGTATTCCCCTACAATTTCTCAAAGTTTTACAAAAATCGGAGAACTGAGGGACAACTTTGATTTGTTAGGTATGATTTGACCCTTTTGCAATTTAGAATTCTCAGTTTATGTAATATTTAATTTTTCCAAATATAAATTTTTTTATCCCACATGCACAAAAATGGCGCTTTTAGATAGCTGACGACAGGGAGTAAAGTCACTCATTTGTTCGACCATATGAAAATGGCGTCCATTTTCTCCCATGTGCAAACATAACCGCTGATCCCATGCGTTATTTTTGCCCAAGGGAGAAAACGGCCGCCATTTTCATATAAGTCGAACAAGTGACTGACTTTTATTCCCTGTCGTCTGCTATCTGAAATCGACACTTTTGTGCATTAGGAATAAAAAATATCGTAAGTAACATGGGAATAAAGGCAGCTAATTTGTTTACGGTGATTTTTGTGACACGAGTGGAGGTCGTAGGCGCTCCGAGACCTCCACTCGTGTCACAAAAATCACCGTAAACAAATGGCTGCCTTTATACCCTTGTTGCTTAATATACTATTATATCTAATGTGTGTAGAAAAAAACCTGACTCTACCGGGGCGCAAACTCAGGTTCACAGTAAAGCATTTTACCACTGAGCTTCGGTACGCGTCTAAAATATTTTATATTATATACTATATTTTATTTATTATACTACTAATATATAACATATTTATATTATACATTTTTTATTATTACTGGTAATATTAATATCAATAACATTATTAATTTCATTTGTTTACAAAATTATTTATATTATATTAAATAAAAAATATTTGTTCAATTCAGTAACTATAGTAAATTACTTTTGACATTGAACTTGTAATATTTTACTATTAATAATATTGCATAATTATTATTAATTAATTAAAGTAACTAATTTACTATTCGAGTAATTAAATTATAGTTATAATATTTTATTAAATAAATATTTGTTATCTTAGCTGCGTGGTAGTATTCATGCTCTGTGACTCTATGCTCCTGGGCTTGAGACCCCAAGAGATCGTACAATTTTATTTCGGTGCTAGAAAAAAGGGACTTTTAATTTCTACTAACAACAACAATAATAATAAAAATAATACCTAATAATTAAAATTAAAATTTTTTCATTCATTAAAATATTTGAATTGATTGAATTAATAATTTCAAATCAGAGTCAAAATGATCAAGTATGTCAACAGAGGGTTAATAAACAAATTATAATATAATAAAATATTAATTAATTAATATAATAAATTTATATTCAAATTTTTTTTACAGCCATCATAAATAGTGGAAATTCTCTTTTAATCTGTTCGTAGAAAATTTTGTTTCTCAATAAAAATGAATAAGAACTGAGATGGGAGATTAAAAAGATACTCGCCACTTTTATAATGGTAACGAATAACAATTGAATAATAACTTGACGCTTTTTTTAACGATACAATGAAATCTTGATATATATACTATATATATATATATATATATATATATATATACTATATATATATATATATATATATATATATATATATATATATATATATATATATACAATATATAATTATACAATATACACAGAAAAAATGGATGGTAAAAAGTTACAAAGGTAATGGGTAAAAGTTGTTGGGGTAAAGGGTAAAAATTGTAGAGGGTAATATTGTGATGGGTAAAAATGTTACCAAAATATCACTAGAATAATAGACGACATTATTGAGAAAAATGAACAAATATTACACTTACGAAAGTCACAATTTTATAAGATATGTAAATATAACAATTTACTTCTAAAACCATTCACAATATATACAATTAATAGAAAATTAATCTTCTTCTTCCTTTGTTTATGACTTTTTGCTCGGCAATAGGCCAGATCTAGCAGAAAATTAATCATTACTATCGTTTGTAAATAAACAGGATTGAGAAACTAGAAACTAATATTTGTTGTTTCACAGCAGAGTTGGGTAGAATAAAATTTTTATAGAACTATTGAGATGTACATTTAACTACAAATTGAACGAATGTGAATTTATTTTTAGCGGAAAATAAAAAAATAAATTTAAAGTTTTTTTAATAAATACAAGGTTATATAAAGTATAAATAATAAATAAATTATAATATTAATATATAATAAACTTTCTAAATTTAAATTAGTAAAAATGTTTACTAATTTGAATTATTAACTGGCCTTTAGCATTTGAATTAGTACATTTTACTAATAAATTAGTATAAATTACTATTTATTAGTAAAATTTGCTAATTTAAAAGCAAAAAGAAAGTCAATAATTCAAATTAGTAAACATTTTAACTCGTTTTGTTTTAATTTATGGTAATTTGTATGTTTACATGTATATAAAATGTTAATATGAAACATGAAAATGGCAAACGATATTTGTATCCTTTTCTATCTCATTTGAAAATTACTCATTGCAATTTAAAGTTTTCATTATTCTATTTATGCCTTATTGAATTCTTTTTAAATTTATGAGGGAGCATTTACACCTTCGGTAAAAATTTCCAGAACGAAAAATTTTTCATTGGAGTAAGAGAGACAGACTGTGTATCTGACTCTCTTACTCCAATGCAAATTTTCCTTTCTGGACAATTTTTACAGAAGGTGTAAACTCTCCATGAATATACATACCTTAATATAAAGGATTTTCTACAATACGAAGAAATACAAGTCTAAGTGCTACAGGAATTCTATGTTATGAAAAGTTACTTTTTTGGTAGAAGGAATCCACTTCTATATATTTTTAAATAAAAATAAATTGTTTAAATAAAAATTTGCAAATAATAAAATAATTATTATTTCATAATATTAATTTAACAGTTACAAACTAGTAAACCAATTTGAATAAAAAGAGTAATATTTTTTAGATAATTGTAAAGTTTACATTTTTAAGGTTATGTCTAAAACTTGTAGTGTTTCTTATTGGTTTTGTTATAAGATAATTGTAAACATAAATTATATTCTTGTTATCGTTACTGTTTTCTGGGTAATATATATAGAATTTTTTCACGTTTCACGTCTGCGTCACGTGTTTCTTATTTTCTCTTTCTCGCGTTATTTTTACCATTTAGATACAACATTATGTCTTAGGGTGCAATCCCATTACAGCAGAATACGTCGACCGAAAACAGAAAATCATGAGTGCGAAAGAGATAGATAGATATTGTTGTTCTTTTCACTCTCATGATTTTCTGCTTTCGGTCGACGTATTCTGCATACATGGGATCGCACCCTTAAGCACAACTGTTTCGCGAACGCAAGCTATAAGTTAGAAAAGGACAGATTTATATTTGTGTCCTTTTCTATCTCATACATCTCGTACGCGAACGACTTTCGCGAACCTATTGTGCGTTGGACTTTAGGGCCAAAGCAAAATGAATACGGATACGGGAACAGGACATGCAAAAGAAAATGACAGAAGCTGTATGCATCCCTTTCTATCCAATGCCCTGTTCCCGTATCCGTATTCATACTGCGTTGGTCTTCGAAAGATTTCTATTTAACAGAGGGTTCTCATTGATTAAACATTTTCATCCTTTCTCTAACCTTTTTTCTGTGAAAGCACCTTAAGAATTATATAAGCGAATTTTTTTGTGACAGCATTGTTGCTTTACCTTTGGTTATAATAAGTGATCTATTTTTAATAAGACGTAAACAATTATTTGAAAAGAAAAGAAACTAAATTGTGTCAATTGTAGGTAAGTAATTTTTTGCTATTACTTAAAATTTTTTTCTTATTTGTAAATAAATAATCACTTTAAAATTGGTTTAGAAAAGTGAGGTTATAGATGTCATGACAATTCATTTTTTTAAATGTATTTTGTAATGAAATTAAAAATAGATAGTGAAATAAATAAAATATTAAATCTTTTGCATGATACTGCTTTACCGATTATCCGCTTTTCTCTTTATAAAAAAACAAAATATAATTTCAATTCCATATTTTTATGCAAAATTTTCCGGCAACTTTCGAATATGTTTAAATTTCGAAAATTGTTTTGTAGTTGAAACATTAAACTTTATCAAACAAAATTTATTTCTCCTTAAAAATCAATAACGAAAAAGTAAATTTATCTAGAACAATTATAATGAGATATACCTATTCAAAAAGTTCTGAAACTGTTTTATTCGTATTTTATAAAATAAATTTATTATATCTTTTTGATGTTAAATAATTTTATAAAAAGTTTATGTGTTGTACAATACTAAAGATTGTAGTAAATATTTCTTATTAATTGGCAGAAATCCCAAATATTTATATTATGCATTGCATAAGGTAAATTTTACATTACCCTCACAGCACCGGGATATTCAGGATATCCCAGAGACGTCCTGGGGATATCGATTTGTTTTCGGAAGTTTGGATATCTCTGGGATATCCTAGGGACGTCCATGGATATCCAGAGGATAATCCAGGGATATCCAAACTTCCGAAAACAAATCGATATCCCCAGGACGTCTCTGGGATATCCTGAATATCCCGGTGCTGTGAGGGTAAATAAAATAGTATAAATAGTTAATATATTCCTTGTATCCGAATCTTTATTTGATGAAAAATAGTAAAATAAAACATTTAAAAAATAATTAATAGTAGTGAATATATTAGACTTTAACATTATGATAGTATTTGTTTGAAAAGTTTTTTATTCCTTCGATTTGGATGTTTAAAGACAAAAAATAGTTTACAAAAAGTATTAACTAAATTAAATTATTAAATTACTTATGTTGAGTTGACATAGTGTTTACCTCTATTTGTATTTTACACAATTACCATAAAATTAATGTTTATTTTTATTGCAATTAATTTTGATTTTTTTTTGTCAAGTATAAAGATATATTAAACATATGGGGCATTCCACGTCAAGTCGGAAATCATTTTCCTTTTGCATCTCAATTTTTTTCAAATGTTTTTTTTCTTTCAGTGCTCGTTGAAATGAGCTACCATGATTTTTTACACATTTTTTCATAAAGCGATTTAAGAAATACAAATTTTTAAAAAATTACGTTTTTTATCTAAATTTTTTTGAAATGCTTATAACTCTGCCAAAAATTGGTCAAATTGGACGTTCTTTTAAAACAATTTTTTGTTTTTATACGTACTTTTTAATAAAAATAGGCAAAAATTTATTTTATAAAATTTACGATAAGATTTAAAAATTTCTTTAAAATATTTTATTTTTAACAATGTATGTAATGTATCTACCAATGTTTTGTAAGAAACTAGTACTAAATTAACAATTTTTAATCCTTGTCTGATTGTGGTCAAACGATGGGATCTATTTATTTTGAAATTTTTAATTTTTATATACGCAGTGGTAGCCAAATGTCTAACTTGCCATTTGACCAAATCACAATTTTACACAGTAAGAAGGTTAAGTTCATATTTTTATTAAAAACTATATGTGAAAACAAAAATTTTCTTTAAAAGAACGTCCAATTTGATCAATTTTTGGCAGAGTTATAAGCATTTCAAAAAATTTAACTAAAAAACTTAATTTTAAAAAAAATCTGTAACTCTTAAATCGCTTTAGAAAAAAATTTTTAAAGAAATCATGGCAGCTCATTTCAACGAACACTAAAAGAAAAAAAAATTTGAAAAAAATTTGAGACGCAAAAGGAAAATGATTTCCGACTTGGTGTGGAATGCCCCATATATTATGTCATATATAATAATTTTCGTTTGACAGAAAAAATATTCCAGTTATTTTTCCAATCAATTATGTTTAATTAAATATAAGAAGAAACAATCAAAGTTAATTATTAATATTAATTTTTAATTTTATCTCTTTTTAACTATTTACATTTATATTTACAGCAATGGACGAAAATCCCATACTTGAGGATCAGTTTAATGACGTTTCCGATGATGACAATTTTAGTGACGATTCAGATTACGAAGATGATCCTGATGATATTGATGATGTTCCAGACAATCCTGAGAAGGAAATTATTGGACAATACCTTTTATATTTACGAAGTAGTACTCGAGCAACAAATAAAGATGTCATCAATATTTTATCGAAAATGCAAGAAGTTGTAAGATGGTATCTTACTCATTACCTCAATGATGTCAGAACTACGCTTCAGGAGAGGCACAATTTACACTTGAATGACATTATAAATATTGAGGAAATTGTTAACAATATTAACTGCAGTCAAGGCCTTCACAGTATTCACAACCAAAATTTATATTTTCAAGAAAAATTCAATGTTGTAAAGCCTAATAGAATTGAGTTGGGTGAGAATTTTGTCCCTTATGGAACACCTACAATTTATGGCAATCAACCAATTAAAAGGAAGAAAGATGAATTCATTCACATTCCCATTAATAATGTTCTTACTAAATGGTTAGAAAATGGCTCATTCGGGAATGTTTTATTTAACCCAACACCAAATGAGGAAGGAGTTATTGAAACGTACATGGATGGAACCTACTTCAAAAACCATTCTTATAAGAGGCGAAGACCTGACTGCAAGTTCATTAAACTATACTACGATGAGGTCGATATGTGTGATGCTGTCGGTTCCAAATCATCTTCCAAAAATAAGCTCGGAATGTTTTACTGGATGGATGAAGACATATCTCCCGAGAATAGATCACAATTAAAATTTATCAATTTAGCAGGAGTTGTATCTAATCCTCACATCAATTCTTATGGAATGAACAGGATCCTTCAGTACATCGTTAACGATTTAAAACAATTTGAAAATGGCCTTCGTTTGTCAAACGGCGATATAATTTACGGAACTTTATCAGTTTTGATTGGTGATAATCTTGCAATACACCAGCTCTGTGGTTTTAGAGAGTCGTTTAGTGCACGTTATCCTTGCAGAATATGTAAAGCAATCATGGATCAAATAAAAACTATGTTCAGGGAAGATTCGACAATACTTCGCTCGTCCGAGGAGCATGACTTGCAAGTTCAGGCTATTGAAGCTGCTGTTGGGGAACAAAATAAAGCAGCACTGAGAACCGCATTTGGCATTAACAGGAGAAGTGTGCTAAATGAGATTGAAAATTTTCATGTTACACAATCGACGCCGCCCGATTTAACACACGATGATCTGTTGGGAATCTGTGTTATAACAACAAGATTATTTTTAAAAGAAATTTGTTGCACTTTACGTTTAATGACACTTGATGACTTAAACAAGAAAATAGCTGATTTTGATTATGGTTATTCAGAAAAGTCGTCAAAACCTTCACCAATTTCTGAAAGGCAATTGTTGGATGCTACTCAAAAAATGAAACAGACAGCATCGCAGATGGCACAGTTAGTGACAATGTTGCCATTAATAGTTTCGGACAAAGTCGTTCAGGGATGGGCTCCGCTAGACAATTACTTAAAAATGCTAGAGATTATTTTAATATCACACGCAGATAAAATAAAACATTCAATTTTGGGTTATTTGGAATGTTGCATTTCTGAATATCTCGAAACATTTCAAACGTGCTATAATAGAGATTTAATTCCAAAACAACATTTTCTATTGCATAGAGTAAGAGCGATTCTGAAATTTGGACCTTTGCAACAATACTCCACTATGAGAGCAGAAGCCAAACACCAATTCTTCAAACGAATTGCTCAGTGTATGCGAACCTACAAAAATTTACCGGTAACACTAGCTAACAAACACCAGCTGCATCAAGCATACATATTAAATGGGACTCTAGAGAGAGAGATTACTTTAGGCCCAACAAAATGGGTCCCTATTAATGTACTTCCTTATGCAGAGCTGTTTCCAGATGTAAGACGACTACAGACAACAAGATGGGTGCAAATAAATGGTATTAAGTATACTGCACTTAAGTGCTTTTTAGCTGTCGGATATAGTGAACAGAATATACCACAATTTGTAGCACTGCACGCCATCATTTTGAGAAACAACAATCCAATTTTCGTTTGTCGAAAAGTGACAACTGTTGAACATAATGTAAGGATAATGGCATACGAAATTGAAATTGAAGAAGATTTTGTGGCCTTATCAATTGAAGATTTGCTGACTGTTGACGTATTTCACGGACATCGATGGAATGAAACTCAGTACATTATACTGAAAAAAGCTTTGGGGAATTTACACTGACTTGTAAGTAATAAAAATAACTAATACAGTCAGTTATTTTTAATATGTTTTATGATTAATAAACTTTTATTTATTTTAAATTTGCAGATTTCAGCATCTTGAAGAATTCAGAATGGTATGGTTGAGATGCAGTTTTTCTAAATCGTCTTTTCTAATTTTTGATTTCCTAAAACACTTTTCTAATAAAGGTGAATTTCTGAAAATAATTTTTCAAATTAAGGTAATTTTTTAATATCTTTTTTCTAATAAAGGTCGTTTTCTGAAAATTTCTTCTTATAATAAAGGTGATTTAAAAAGAAATTTCTAACAATATTTAATTTTTGTAATGATAAAAAAATTTATGAAAATTTTGTAATTCTTTCAAAAACGTAATTGAGATTTCGTCAAAAAAATGTGATAAAAAATAGAAATTATGCAAATTTTAACAAGAAATTTTTAAATAATCACGTTAAAAATCGTTATTAACAAATAAAAATTATGGGAATAATTTTCCTAAAGATATTTCAAATTTTCTAAATTTAGCAAAGAAGAAGAAACTATTTGTCAATGTTTTTGTGTTCCACAAAAATAGTTTATGGATTTTTTTATACGTTTCTATTTGTATTCTGTATCATCTTTGATTGAAAAAATATTTTACATCGTAAAAAGAATAAATTATAGAAATAACAAACGGAGTTTGGTGTTGTATTTTCAAATTTGTATTCGTTTAAGAAGAACATCTGCAGAGTACCTTTATACCTTAGTTAAAAAGATATTACAAAAGAAATACAATAAATTGTCTCCAATTTTGAAACCTTACTAGCAACAATTTGGGTGCCGCTGACTTCTGGCTCACTTTTTTTTAAAAAAAATTGCAGGTTTTTAAAAATAATATAACGTAAAAATTTTTGTTATAAAAATAAAATATGTGAATTGGAATATATAGTTTTAATATTATTATAATTATAATAATCATATATTCTGACATAGCTAATTCAGGGAAAAGTCTGGAATTTCTATTAAAAGTTCTGAAAAAATTTAATTTTTAGAATTCATAGAAAAATTCTGAATATTTGTGACGTTTTAGTTTGACTCATAAACGTAATAAAATCCTTATCACATAATTTAATTACGTTCAAAATTTATAGAAAAATCTCGACGAAAAACCAATTATTATTTTTATAAATAGAAAAATTCTTCTTCAAAATTTCAATTATTTTCAAAAAATTTCCTCATTTCAATCATTTTTAATATCTACTATTGTAATAAAATTACCCATAAGAAAACAATTATTTAAGAACAATTTTAATAAAATTGTACGCAAACATTTAATTATTTTTATAAATAATAAAATTTCACAGGTATTCAAATATTTACAAATTTTTTGTTTCTTCTTAATAATTTCACTTATTTTCAGAAATAATAAAACTTATAGTTGTCTTTCAATTATTGTTAATAAAATTTTAATCCAATTCCTTGAAAAATGTAACTATTCCTAAAAATGTTATTCAAAATCGTAAAAAAATGAAATTATTTAAAAATTTGTTAACAAGATTCTTTATAAAAATTAAATTTTAAGAAACATTCAATTATTAAATAAATTATTTATTTTTGTATTTAAATAATTGAATTCTAATAGAATTTTCTAATAAATATGGATTTAAAAATGAATTTAAGTTTCAATTTTAAAAAATAATACAATATGAAAATAATTTTTAAAAAGTTAGAGTAACAATGTTCTTATAATATAAAATAATGATTTTAACACTCGATCCTCTTTAATTATTATCTTTACGTTTTATAACAATATTTTTAAAGTTGATTAATTTCAAAAAGATTTGAATTTGAAATTTTGATAAATCCTAATTCCTACTGTAAAATAATAATAATTAAATATTTAAAATGTTTAAAAATAAAATTATTGTTTTCAAATAATTTTGCAATTAAAGATATTCGTAAATAAATTTAACAGAACATTTTTTTCTATAAAATTTTTCCTTTATTTTCTAAAAATTCAAAAATTTTCAGTTTTATTTTCAATTGAATTTTCTAATTGCTAAATATAATTTATAAACATTTTATTCCTTTATTTAAGAAAAATTTTGAATTGTATTAAAACAATTGAAATTGAAAAATAGAATTGATGAAAATGATTTCCTTATGAAAATAGATAATTTTTTACAAAAATATTAAGAAACGGGAATATCTAATGTTTTTCTTCCCAAAAAAATAAGTTTATAATTTATTATTTTATTATAAATCATGAAAAAATTCCTGCATATGTTCCATTTTTTCAAACAATACTTTAAAAATGCATACACAGAAACTAACTTCAAACTGCGGACAGAATAAATGAAAGAATACGGATATTAATATAGTTAATAATAATAATATTTTGGTACGACTCATATTATAGTTTTTGACATTTAAAATAAGATAGTTTCTTATAATTTTTTACTTCAGACATAAATTGAATTTTATAATAGTCATATTGGTTATCATCATTTCTAATTCTTTTTAAAAAACAATCGTTATAAATGCTTTTGACTATATTGCTAGTTTAATTAAGGTTAACCTTAATTAACTTATAATTTAATGTTGAAACATACAAATCAACTGTTTCACAATTTTTTGCGATAGTGAAATATCAGTGAAACCACTGATATTTAATCTTCATTTCTATGTACAAAATTTATTACAAATTCACATTAAAAATAATTAAATAATTTACTATGCTGAAAGACATAAATTTGTTCCTTATAAATTATATAATTAATAGATAATCATTTCAGAATTGTTACAGAAGTACATTCCCAAAATAATTTACACTTTAGTGTTTCTAGAGTATGCATATACATTATATTTCATGTCGTGTACTCTTTCTGAAAATCTAGGCTGCTCCATACATATTTGTTGTCGTATCCAAATTAAACTTAGTATAAATATATAATATTATTTCTGAAAACAAATTTTTTATTTCATTAATGACATCATTATGTATTATATGTACTAAAATAGTCTTGCTGCAATAAACAATAATCATTTGAATAATTTTTTTTGTAATCTATACTTTTTCCTAGTACATGTAATATATATATATATATATATATATATATATATATACGTAATTTTGTGGACGAATTGATAGACGTTTTGTGATGCTCCATAAAGTAAATAAATTTTAATTTCTATTGTAACTTGAACTTAGTTTTTAAGATATGACAGGTTGTTGTTGACATTTGGTTACATAACCTATGCATTAAAACTTTAGGACTCAACGCACAACTGCTTTTAGGCCTTTCTTCAATAGACACACAATGGAGAGAGACGCATGATTTTCCCCTAAACGACAAATGGTCGAATGTTCAAATGGTCGAATACCAAGTAGTCGAATCGTTAACTGGTCGAATGCTAAAAACATCGAATGCTAAAAACGTCGAATGTTCAAAATATCGAATCGTCAATTTGTCGAATGATCAAAACGTCGAATTCTCAAATGGTCGAATGCTAAAAACATCGAATCGTCAAATGGTCGAATGCTCAAAAGGTCGAATCGTCAAATGGTCGAATGCTAAAAACATCGAATTCTCAAATGGTCGAATGTTCAAAACGTCGAATCGTCATTTAGTCGAATGCTAAAAACGTCGAATCGTCAAATAGTCGAATGTTCAAAAGGTCGAATCGTCAAATGGTCGAATACTCAAAAGGTCGAATCGTCAAATAGTCGAATGCTAAAAACGTCGAATTCTCAAATGGTCGAATGTTCAAAACGTCGAATTCTCAAATGGTCGAATGCTCAAAACGTCGAATCCTCAAATGGTCGAATGCTCAAAACGTCGAATTCTCAAATGGTCGAATGCTCAAAACGTCGAATCATCAAAAATTCGAAAAATTTGCTTGGTTTAAGTCAACATTAACTTAAACCAAGCAAATTTTTCGAATTTTTGACGATTCGACGTTTTGAGCATTCGACCATTTGACGATTCGACGTTTTTAGCATTCGACCATTTGAGCATTCGACCTTTTGAGCATTCGACCATTTGACGATTCGATGTTTTTAGCATTCGACCATTTGAAGATTCGACGTTTTTAGCATTCGACCAAATGACGATTCGACGTTTTGAACATTCGACCATTTGAGAATTCGATGTTTTTAGCATTCGACCATTTGACGATTCGACGTTTTGAACATTCGACTATTTGAGAATTCGATGTTTTTAGCATTCGACCATTTGAGCATTCGACCTTTTGAGCATTCGACCATTTGAGCATTCGACGTATTGAGCATTCGACCATTTGACGATTCGACGTTTTTAGCATTCGACCAAATGACGATTCGACGTTTTGAACATTCGATCAATTGATGAGTCGATGTTTTGAACATTCGACGTTTTGACTATTCGATGTTTCTAGCATTCGACCAGTTAACGATTCGACTACTTGGTATTCGACCATTTGAACATTCGACCACTTGGCGTTTAGGGGAAAATCATGCGTCTCAATGGAGATAGACCTTCAGGCGGTGTTCACATGCTTGCTCCCATGGCAGCGTTTTGCGTTGCGTTTTGTAACTACGCCATTAGTGCAAATATAGCCAACATATATCTCCATCTCTCTCATGCTGCATCTACATGGCAAAGGTAACGCAAGACGCAACGCGAAACGCACAAAAATACCATGCATTTCTAGCGCGTTTTGCGTTGCGTCTCGCGTTATCTTTACCATGTAGATACAACAACACACTCATGGCCTAGTTACAAAACGCAACGCAATACGCTGCCATGGGCCTCCAGCCTGAGGTCGCAGTCCCATGGCAGCGTTTTGCGTTGCGTTTTGTAACTAGGCAATGAGTGTGAGAGAGATGGAGATATATGTTTGCTATATTTGCACTCATGGCCTAGTTACAAAACGCAACGCAAAACGCTGCCATGGGACTTCACCCTGAGAGTGCGATCCCATGTGAGCAGCAGAATACATCGACCGAAGGCAGAAAATCATAAGAGTGAAAAGAACAACAATATCTACCTATCTCTTTCTCTTTTGCACTCAAGATTTTCTACTGTCGGTCGACACATTCTGATCACATAAGATCGCACCCTAAGGGAGCATTTACACCTTCGGTAAAATTTTCCAGAACGGAAAATTTTTCATTGGAGTAAGAGAGACAGACTGTGTATTTGACTCTCTTACTCCAATGCAAATATTCCTTTCTGAGCAATTTTTATAGAAGGTGTAAACCCTCCATGAGTGTTAAGCAGGTGATAAGGCCTAAGCAGAATAAGTTCGCGAACACAAAGCATGAGTTAGAAAAGGACAGAGATATATTTGTGTCCTTGTCTATCTCATGTGTCTCGTTCGCGAACCTATTGTGCGTTGGACTTTAAGGTACGGTCTCACCTCGGCTGCCTGACTGCAGGTCGTCATGGCAATACATTAGAGTAAGAGAGTCAGACAATTCAAATTGTGTTTTCTCTCCCTTACTCTAGTTGCGGCTACCTGCGCAGGCAGCCAAGTTGTGGCCGTGCCATAAGTAGGAGAAAAATATACGTGTATCTCTCTCTCCCTTATTATTCAATGCCGTAGCGTTCGAACCAGGAAGGAAGAGTAAGGAGACCGAACTCTGTGCAGATAGCGCTTTGAAAATGTCTGAGAAATATGCACGAAAAGTGCCAGGTTCGATTCGTTCTAGTCGACCACCAAATAAGTTGATCATGCGCATAAGCTGTGTTGTGTCTCTGTTTCTCGTAAAAATTGTGCGAGTGAGATGTAATATCTAATGTTTACATTTAGCCGGTCTTAGTGAGATACATATATAATACATTTCGTTTTAAAAATTATTTATTTATTTTATTTAAAAAAATGTCGTGTTGTGTGCCAGGATGTAAAGAAAGAAAAAGAGTCTAAAAACATTAGTCTCTTCTATCCTTCTACGGTATGTAAATATACTCTAGTTATAAACATAATTCTTCTTAACCATTTTCGCAAAATTTTTCCTTTTTTATAAATATATTATTAAATTATTTCGGAAATCTAAATAATATCACAATTACAAATAAATAAATTTGCTTTTCAAATTAACACAGTTTAAACTATGTAATATTTACCTTGACATAACCACACTTTTCATCTATGTCAACACTGAACTAAAGTTCAGTGTTGACATAGATGAAAAGTGTGGTTCAATGCGCATGATCGACTTATTTGGTGATCAACTAGAACACAGTGAGTCTGGCACTTTTCGTGCATATTTCTCAGACATTTGTAGAAGCAGAGTTCGGTCTCCTTACTCTTCCTTCCTGGTTCGAACACAAGCATGCAGCGCCTCACTTTTGCAAACGACTTTCGCGAAGCGATTGTGTATTGACCTTTACAAGACAAAACGCAAAAGAGAAAGAGGTAGCCATGTAGTTACCGTCTCGTGTCCCACCCTGAACAAAGTGACTAGAAGTGCATATTTAGTGTAAACAATTGAACAACAACGCTTGTGGATTCTGCTTGCTGTTTATATTATCTTTAAAAAAGGATTGTAAAGAAAAATTATTCCATGTAGATATTAAAATTTTAATAAGAAAAACAACACTACGAATTTAGCGAAAGATGCAGACTAATATTGACTCGAAGGGGGTAAAAAGAGGACGTTGCGAACAGTGTAACGAATGTCCAGAGTTTGAATGGCGACAAGATTCAAAGAGCTCCCGATGCGGTTATTGCGATTGTGTCCCAATTAGTCATAAGAGACATTCAGAATCCCTTGAGGAAGAAATTAACAATACTCATGATTTATCGGACAATTCTTTCATTGATCAAGGAATACACAATGAAAGTAGCGAAGAAAAAAACCTAGATGAAACTATTGAAGAAAATTCGGGATCAAACGTGCCTGAATCAGAAAATAATAGTGGAGACGAAGAAATTTTAGAAATGAATGAAACGGTAATAAAGAATAATTTATTGAAAAATTGTAGTTTTGACTGTAAAGAAGACTTTCGTAAACAACATTGTTACAATAGTTCCTACAATGAATTGTATAATAATTAGTACTGTTTTATTTGTTTTTTTATTTCAGACTGACATAAGTGTTTTCATGAGGATCGAATTACCAAAGGAAACGCAGGAATTAATAGATAAAAAGGAAAAACTAACAGAAAGTCAAAAATCATTAATAGTACGACTAATTTCGAAAAATATGATCGATGCAGGTTTCGATAATCCATGCGTTATCGAGGAAATGTCTATCCTGTTGACAGACAAATATCCGCAATATTTTGAATGTGCATATGGTGCGAAACATGTAAGTTTCTTCGTTTAAAAATTTGATAACCGTGGTAATATTTGTAACGCGATCTAAAAAAGGAACCTTAGAAGCAAATCACTTTAAGGTTATGTTACTGCTAGTTTTTTTACTGAAGGTTTCTTTTTACTTATTACAAATTTAAATCAGTGTTTATTAAATATTTTAGTCAAAATGAAAACTTAAACATCAACGATTTATATTGGCACTTGATTCTTTTTTGGTTTTTTCATTTAAAGAATTGCAAACATAATTTATAATAGCTTGCTTCAATGGTTCCTTTCTTCAAATCGCGTCACAATTTCTAAGAAGTTTACAAAAAAATGCCTTAAACTAATTAAATATTTTTCCTGAATTATAATAATAATTTTTATTACACTCTTATAAAGTATAGAATCAAATTATATTACACGATAAATTTTTCATACTTTTAATGTTGCTCGTTGAAGAATTTAAAGTCCTATTCTTTTCTATTTTATTCCTCTACACCAAAACTTAAAGATTTAATATTCCGTTTTTCGATCTCGATGAGAATAGCGAGAATTTTAGATATTTATTTTTAAACATTTCTTTAATTAGCAAACTTTTAACTTTAGTTGCCATTAAATCCCTTTGTTTATATATACAATTTTAAAATTTATCAAATATTTTTCTATGACGTCTTTTTTACATTAAATAGGATCAGACACATGCACGAATGAAAAACTGTTTTAAATATTTGAGAACAAAGGATAAAAAGAGTTCACGTTGTAAAGGAACTTCATCGAGTAAAGTTGAACCAAAAAAACCTAGCATGAAGAAGGAATTGCAATCGACCAGAAAGTCCAGAATGATGGCCATTAGTAAAGTGAATGCCTCAGAAATTTTAGATAGGTATCCCGCACTCCGAAGAAAGGATATGGTAAAATTATTTGTTTAAAGAACAACCTGTTGATCTGTTCTGCTATGATATTTTAATTTCTTAAATTTCATTAATCTCTGTCTATAGTCTTCTCATAATCTCCTTTTAAATTCAAACAATTATACTCTAAAATTAGTGATTATCGCAAAATTTTTTGTGTAATTTGTAATGCGGTTTTAGAATAATTTATAATTAGGCATGGGTTTATACTTAATCCACTTTACTATAAAAATTTATTTTTTATAGTACAATATAGGTTACATATAAAGCCATCCCTGTTTACCATTGAAGAAGGATAAAAATGCTAATTTTTCTTTGAATTTCTATAATTACAGCTTCTTGAAGAATTTTGCCAGCTGATAAATTTAACTGCTAATGATTTGAAGCAGAATTGGATTGAGATACTCCCCAAAGTAATTACTGCTTTGCAAATTTCTGGAAAAAATCTTTCTTTTGATGGTCAGACCATGGCTGTATTATATCATCTGCCTAAATTATTCACAAAGGCAAAAGAAGGCGGAAAAATTCTTAACTGTTTTCCGGTAAGTATAAGTGGCGATTAAATAAATTAGTTATATTTTACTTTTGAAATTCTTTAACATCGACTTAATAATAAATGTATTTTAATAATTTTTGTTGCATAGAGTGGAACGCCAATCGCGAATACTATTCCGGGTGTTGATGAGGCTCCAAAATTGATAGCTATAGCAAACAGGCCATTGAATATGATGCACACAATGTGCTACATAGATGGCACACCAATTTTTGAAGCACACGGCTATGAAGCCATACTTCTATTGCTAGCCGTCTATTGGATATTTCAAGTCCAATTTCCGGCAAACGCTAAACAGCAGTTTGCATTTATTTCAATATCCATTTTAAGAGATGTGGCAGTAAAAGACATTGATGCAAACATCTTAAAAAAGATAACATTAACAAATGTTTTAAAAAGTTGCGACTTACTGCCAACTTCCTCAACTTAAAGTTAAATTTATTTTTAAGAACTTAAGTCATAAATGTAAATACAATTTACTAATGTGATAATTTCTTAAGGTATAGTTTATTGCAAATTTGTTGTTTATTTCTTTGGTCATAATAATTTATACATAAAAAAATTTATAAATCTCAAAAATAAGTTTTAAAATTTCTTTCCTTTACTTTAATGTTCTGAATTGATAAAACGGGAATCTAGGGACTATTACATTTCTATAGAAATGAAGTTCTAAAGAACTATAGTTCTTTTTAGACTTCGTCTTGTTTGAAATTCAACTGAATTCAATGTATATCAAATTCAAAAAAGGAAAAATAAGAATTATGTCAAACAACATTTTGGTAAATTAGAAATTCGTTTAATTGAAATTTCGATTAATATTTGTTTTATTTATTAAACGTTTTGTTATATTATATTTTAGATTAAAATTTATTTAAAAAGATTTAAAATTAGGGAATACAGAAATTTGAGTGAATTTAATTTAGAATCAAGAACTATTATAAAAATTTGAATTTAGGTTAGGCGACATTTTGTAAATAATAAATTAAGTTTCATTTGACATCGCAGAAGTATACATTATATTTCAAGAAGCATCATTCGTTCATATATATATAGCATTTGAGTTTATTTCTAATTTGATTATATAATTATTATAAATATTGATTTCTTGAAACTTCTTTTATTTCAAACCTAATTTCTTTTGTATCATCTTTATAAAACTAAATTTCTTTTTTTTCAAATTATTTTACAAGAAGTTTCAGACAGACTAAAATTGTACTAATTAGACAGTATCAAGTATATAAATTCGATTAAAATATAATTTATTTACATTCCTCTTAGGTTAAATGTCAAATCGAAAGCATTGAATTTCGTTCAATTTACAATTCGTTCCAAGTGTCAACAGAAATGAAAGCAACTTTCAATTTGACTATTTGAGTGATGTGAAGTCGACTTAATATTTATTATGCTTTTTTTAATTTTTAGATGAAAGACTGCAACCCGAGGAAACTGAAAATTCTATCCTACCCAACTTTGCTACTGAGTTGTGTGTGCACCTTTACAGTCGCTAGTTTCCCAATCTTATTTGTTTACAATTAAACTTTTATTATCAATTGTATTTATTTATTATAATTTGTTGCAATGTTTTATTTTAGACATATTTATGCACGGGTAGTTTCCTTAATATTAAAATAGTAAATTTCATATATCAATTGTAATATTAATGGATTTTATTCAAAAAAGAATGTCGATTGTTCTAGTGATATTTTGGTAACATTTTTACCCATGACAATATTACCCTCTACAATTTTTACCCTTTACCCAAACAACTTTTACCCATTACCTTTGTAACTTTTTACCATCCATTTTTTCTGTGTAATAAGATCGAGGGAAATTATTAATTATATTAATTCTAAAAAGAATTAACTATATTTATCTCTAAAATTGAGAAATAACCTTCTTCTGCATAATTACCATATCTAGTAAATTGGGTCTCTAGGTTTTTCTCAAACGTTTTGAAGTTTAAATAAAATAATAAATAACATTTTTATAAAAAAAATAAAATCTTCTGTTGGAAACACAAAGATTTATAATAATGGTCATTTTTTAAGACCATAATTAACGTCAAAATTTAGAACTCCCAAGAATAGTCACTTCCGGTTGCAACTTTGTAAATTCTACACTCGTGTAGATTGTGCCTTCTAATTTAATTGAGAATAATTTCACGACAGAAATCTTCATATAATATATTAACTACCCGGAAATAATTTAGCAAGCAATATGTAGAATTTATTTCCCCTATTTCTACACTGAAATAATTTCTTATTCGCTTTATGGTATCGAAAGCCATTTTCAAAATTAAAAAAAATTATTTACATACTTACAAATACGGGGTATAAGCGGATAGTACTCACCTGAAACAAAAAGAAATTATAAAATTTACAAAGAATATTAAGGATTTGTAAATAGTTAACATTTTAAGCAATAAAATGTAAACTATTTGGAAACTGAATTTTCACAAAATTGAAAATGGGTTTTTGGTAAAGAAGTCCTTTTGGAGAATAGGAGATTAGAAAAGACGTTGTTTCGAAAAATATCGATAAACTCGTGTATAGATTGTGTTGTGTGAGTGGGGTAAGTGGAAAGAGCCAAGCTATGGTCGGGCGGCGGTTGAACTACGTTGGCCGAGTGAACTGTGCGGCGAGGGATCTGAGATTCTCGGACCGATACGTGAATGGAAGTCCTCTCTCCACTTGTAAGAACCGGAATGGCATTTATTTCAAGCCACGACCTTTGCGGATTATGCGAATCACGAATTTGGCTTGCCTCTTACTCGAAGACGCGGGAATTCGTTAATAATTCGACCCTCGGGGATTCATTTCTGCATTCACTATTCAAACATTTTACACACAGTCGAAATCATCATACTCGAGAAGCGCGCGCGTGGCCTGGCCAAATTCTCTCTTCATATAGCACATCTATTCCCGTACCGGGGACAGAAAAGAACAATGAGTGTACACACACTCCTCTATTCCATCTTCGCTTCAAAACTCGTCCTTCTCGACGAGTTGCGATGTGTCGCCTTTCTTTAGTGGGTGTACAACACTTGCCGAATAAGAGAGAGAAAATGTGTTAAATCCAGGGACGGATACTCTAGATTATCATATTTAGTCTTTTTTCATCAAATTGGAGCTTTTTTATATTAAAGAAGAACTTTTTACAAAACACGAAGATACTTAGAACTCTTTTAGAATTTATTTCCAATTCAGAGAAAATTTGTATCTTGAAAAACGATGCTGGTATATTTATTTTCATAATTTTTGGAGTCAAATATATAAAATTTGGGCTTTTCTTCACCAAATTAGAGCTTTTTCCAAAGCACGAAGGTATTTAGAACTTTTTTAGAATCTACTTCCGATTCAGAAAAAAATTTGTTCTTGAAAAACCACGCTGGTCTTGTAAATTTATTTTCACAATTTTTGGAGGCGATTATCAAATTTGGACTTTTTACATAAATTTGGAGCTTTTTTTTATTAAATCTTTGAAAATTATCTGAATTTTAAAAGAGTTGCGTCTACAATTTTCATAAATAGATAAACTATAAAAGGTTTCCAATTAAAGTTTTATAAAATTTCAATTTTAAATGAATTTAATTAGATATTTTAGAGAACTTAGATTTTTGAAAAATTTTAATAATTCAAATTCTGAATTTGGTCACATTCTTTTAATATATATTTAATTAATTATTAAAAATAATGAATTTATAGAAGGATTTTAGTTAAAAACACTAAAAAAATTAAAATTTTGGAGAAATTACAAATGTTGGCGAAAATTCAATTATTTTCAAAAACTTCAATAAAATTCTTAGCAAACGTTTAATTATTTTTAGGAATATTAAAAATTTCATAGGAATTCAATTATTCACAAATTTTTTATAAATTTTTTTGCAATAATTAAATTATTTTCATAAATAATAAAAATCATTGCAAAATTGCAATTATTTTTAATACAATTTTAATTAAATTCCTCGAAAAATGTAATTATTCTTAAAAATTTTATTAAAAATCGTCAAAAGAATTCAATTATTTAAAAATTTTAATTATTTTTAGAAATAATAAAATTTTTCTCGAAAATTTAATTATTTTCAAAAATTTTTTAAAAGTTCTTGTCAAACTTTAAATTATTTAAAAGAAATTTTCTCAATTCAATGATTTTTAAAATCTAATATTTTAATAAAATTTTCTAAAAGAATTCAATTCATTAACAATTTTTTTTATAAAATTCTACCTAAATGTTTAATTATTTTGATAAATAATAAAAATTTCACACAAATTCAATCATTTACAAAGGTTTTGTAAATTTCCTCGTTGTAATTAAATTATTTTCAATTATTTTAAAATTTGTTGATAAAAGTCTTCAGGAGAATATTCAATTTTAAGAAAGATTCAATTATTCAATAAATTATTTATTTTTGTATTTAAATAATTGAATTTTTAAGCAAAAATTCAATTATTAACTAAAATTGACTAAAATTCATTTTTAAATCAATTTTTATTAGAAGATTCTATGTTTTCTACATTAATTAATATTCTATAGAATTATAAATTGAAATTCGGAAAAATTCATTCACATTGTCAAAGAGTTTTAAGTAAAACCTTTTCAAAATTCAATTATTTCAATTATATTGAATTTTCTAATAAAAATTGATTTAAAAATGAATTTTATTAAAAATTTTATTTAATAATTGATTTTTTGCATTAAAATATGAATTTTTAGAAAGAATTGAATTTTGAAAAGGTTTTATTTTAAAATCTTTGACAATCTGAATTTTTCTCGGTCATCTTTAATCATTATAAAACATGAAAAATCGAGTGATCGATTTCTTCATGTTTTACAATATTTTTATAAGTTGTTAAATTTAAAAAAGGTTTGAATTTGAATATTAAGATACTACTGCTTACAGTTGTCGTTTTAGAATTGTTCTACATTTTCCAATTAATATTTAAATTAAAAAAATTTACCCCCCTAAAAGCCATGATGAATAGAATGTCGAATCTTGAATATTTGTGAGAAAGGATTAAGGAAAGAAAATAAGAGGTTACGAACCTGTGACTTGGGGTTGGGATGAAGTCAGTGAAAAGAGTGGGAGGCCTGAAAAGAGATTGAGAGAGAGAGGAGAAAGAGATTTATGCTTGGCGGCGGCGTCGGGACGTTTTGTTCCCGTTTGTGGAAGTCGAATGGAGCAACGGCAATAGCAACAGAAGATGAAGAAGAACAAGAAGAAGAAGAAAAAAAAGAACAACAAGAAGAGAGGAAGTACAAAAGAAGAAGAAGATGGACCATGGAGACGAGAGCAAGAAGATGACGAGCATAACCGCTTGTGAATGAACATTGGCTCGCGGCGGCATTTCCGGCGCGCTCTTTCGTGTACCCTGTCTTTCTCCGACGCTCTTCCTCTCGCCACCTCCGCCATTCTCTCGAAAACAGCCCCGTGTGTCCTCTCGCGTCTTATGAATGAGTCGCCAGTCAAAGATGCGTGTGCATGTGAGCGAAGCCAGCAACGCATATCCATGCCCCGGGACGGATTTAGATCGCCCGAGA